GGTTGCTCTCTTGTACTTTTTAACCTAATCCATATCTAACATCCACATGCAGAGTCATAAAAATAACCCCTCTAGCTTCCATAATGTAACCAGAAGAAGAGACATAAAAGTTACCCCTGTAGCTGCCATAAGAACGTGCATGCATTTACAGCTGATTTTAGGTTCTAAAGCACTAAATTTGCAAACTACCTATGTGTTCATATAAAGCACAAACTTTGCCGTTGTTGCATGTCAATTCTTCATGCACTTAACAAAATTTTACCCATCCACACATAACCTATTTCACCAAAAAAGGTACAGAATTTGCCCCAATTGAATCCCAATTCTTCATGCACTTTGAAATTCTACTCTTTACTCAACAACCAAAATGCGAATAACATAACATATAAAGAAAAACATCTAGGGAAATTAGCACTTTTAGTCCCTCAAATATTGACAAAATTCTGATTTTGGTCCTTGTTTTTGCTGGTTAAGCACATTCAGCACTTTTGACCATTATTAGGTGTTAAACCACTTAATTACCGATGTGTTAAGTTTGTAATGTTATCCCATATTTGAGAGCAATATATTTCTAAAAATAGTCTAAATATCACATAATTCCTATATAAACCAAAGCCAGACATGTTAGTTAATTGAAGGTTAAATGTGCTTCGCCAAATATTACAAGGATCAAAACCATAATTTACGAAGAACTGAGGGATCAAAAACTGCAATTATCCCAAAACATCTAGAAATCATCCCAAAAGAAGATTGAGTAGCACATTTTGAAAGTAACAAAGAAATGAAAAGCGTACAGGTAGTCTTTCAATTCGTGAAGCCAATTTTCTAGCAGAAGAGTCTTTGATATTCTCGACTTGTTTAGGAAGAAAATCCGGAAATTCAGCAGCTCGGATCCTTAAACGCCTCGAAATGGAGAATCTTACGTTGGGTCCAATTAGAGCAAGTGATGTTGGAAGAGCAACACCAGCTCTGGTTGAGAGCATTGAAAGCATAATAGCGGCTCAGCCCTGCACGGTGGCTCTGGTTCTCTACTACTCATACAGAGAAAGAAGAGCACAACTGATAACTGTAACAAGGCTAGGGCCTTACACTTACAATCACGAGTAGGCGCCGAGATAATACTCGGCCATGTCATCATGTGGCCGCGTTTCACTTTTTTTTTTCACATAGAAAAAAATAATAACTTGACAGAACACGAAATTTAAAATATAAAATAATTATTTATTATGATTTTAATTAGTTAAATGGTGTTTAACATGCCAAAAATATGTCTTAAGCATATAATATTTTATTTTTTTTAAAAGAATGTCGCTAAGGAGACGGATTTAAGATTTTGTGAATATAGGTGCAACACTAAAAAAGTGGGAAAAATAGCATTAAGTGGGAGTTGATTCATGTTCCTCTAGGTGAATAACTCAATATTAAACCAAGTGCACCCTTAAGTCTTTTTGAAGCATGAGTGCCAACATATAATATTAGACAAATTCTAGGGGTTCACGTGCCCATGATTTGGGCTATACATCCGCCCCTGTGACACTAAGGATAAAATATAAAGTTGTGTCATTTTTTTTAAAAAGTAACTACGAAAAATAAAATATATAAACTTAAACAGAAGAAGTTGTGGTGGTAACAAAAACCAATGATTTAAGGATTTTAAGTTCATGAAACTCTAATTTCAATTATAATTAGCCAATGGATATGAACGAAGATACAGAGATAGAATCAACTCAAAACAACAACAATAATAATATACCCAATATAATCCCATATTGTGGGGTCTGAGAAGGGTGTTGAATACGCAGACCTTACCCCTACCTTGTGGAGATAAAAAGGTTGTTTCCAATAGATCTTCGGCTAAGGAAACTAGAAAGCATAAGCACCACATTAATGAAAAGAAAAACATGAAGGAACAACACCGAGAAGTCATATAAAAGCAGCATAAATAACAAGAAAATAGTAAGATGACCAAAATGCAAGAAACGACAAGTAGTCATAAAAACTTACTACCAACAGAAAGCGAGAATGCGTACTAATACTACGATATTAACAATCTAGCCTACCTAACCTACTACCCTAATCCTCGACCTCCATATTTTCCTATCAAGGGTCATGTCCTCGGTCTGTAGCTGCGCCATGTCTCACTTCTCCCCAATTCTTCTTCGGCCTACCTCTGCCTCTCCCTAGGCCCTCCAATGTCAACCTCTCACACCTCCTTACCTCTGCCTCTCCCTAGGCCCTCCAATGTCAACCCCTCACACCTCCTTACCGAGGCGTCTGTACTTCTCCTTACATGTCCAAACCATCTAAACCTCGTTTCCGCCCTACCTTGTCCCAAATAACTTCATTCCTAATCCTGTCTAACCAATTGAATTGAATTTCTTAATGACTGTTTGAAATGAATAAATTAAGGATTGAATAAATATCCAATAACATATCTCCAATACATAATATTATAGAGAAACTAAACATTTACTTACTATCTTTTAAGTGAGATCTAATCCGACAAGTATTATGTAAATTGTAGGCATATAAAACTTAAAATTGAACGAATTTGATAATAATATAAAACTTAAAATCGACAAATATTTATGTACATTTAACTTTCTTTATTTAAAGAAAAATTTACTTTATTTAACACATATCATTCAACTTGCTTTACTAGCACACCTATCATTCAACTAACAGTGCATGAAACACCAATATGCCTTAACTAAGATATTGTAGTGTCTCATCCTCAAGTCTTTATTACACAATACAACTACCCTCTACTATTCACTGCTATTTCGAAATGTTCCTGAAACTACCACGATTACTGGCTTGAAATGTTCCTGAAACTACCATGATTACTGGCTTGAAGCTCCGGCCACATAAGAGTGATATTATTCAAGATATATTACACAGCAAAATTTCAGAACTGCTCCAAGCTCCTCTTGTTCTTTTTTTTTTCCTTTCGGAAATAACAGTGGTCTCTAGGCCAGCTTGTGCAATTTGACAATGTCACCAGGTACCTTTAACTCCCAACAGCATAGATACCGAATTACTCTGTGCTCACGAAGGCTTGCACTGCTCCATGCTATTATTCACCGACCATAAACTTCAGCTCTATATTGGAGAGAAACTGAAAGAAACATGTACCAGAATGCTATAGTATTCAGCTAATTACACAGCTTAAGTATTCACTTTTTTACACTTCAGTACTGAATACCAAAGCACCTTCAATATATGGATAATAAGGCTAATGTTGCTCAAAGAATGAAAGCATAGTTCACTATTGAAGCTGGCCAACTAACCTCATCACTATGTAGAATCAAGAAGTCAGATCCCCAAATGAGATAGCATATGCTAACTATTTGCTTGTACAAGTAACCATTAATGAAGCAGGAACAGAGATGGCGGAGACTGAGTCAAGCTTTTCCCTTCATGATTGATCAGAGTGAATAAATTCCAAAATCAACCTGGAGACAGCATCAGGCTTCTCCACATGAGGGATATGACCACACTTTAGTACTTGGCAGATAATAGCATTTGGCAGTTCACAATGCAATCTCTGCACACATAAGAGTCAATGGACACTTTGGTAATACTTATGCACCACGTATTTGGCTGCTACAAGCCAACAGGTTTCTACTCTTACAAACTTGAAAGAAACATACCACTGCGAGCTTGTAGTCAATAATCTGATCATCTTCACCCCATATTATCAGTGTTTTCTGCTTGACCTGTATAACAGAACTCCTTCCAGTATGAGAATACTGTAGAGTTCTCCATAGGGACAGAAGAAAACCAGTAGACAACATAGGAAATGGAGCTAGAAGAAACAATCTTGGTGCTATAAAAGCAGAAGCAAGTGTGGATCAATCAGCCGCAATTCTACTAGAATGATCCGCCAAAAAATTAGTATGAGGGCCCTAGAGATCAACGGTAACTCCAGTGTAAATTATTACCAAACCAATAATATTGATGATGTCTACAACTAATAAGTTTGGAATTTCAAGAGAAGCTCATAGGTGTTTGCAGTCCAAAATAACTGTGATAAGTATACATGATACTTCCTTTTTTCTTTCTAGAAATGGATGTTTCTTGGGACAACCCAAAAAGGAAAACCGATAATTAATTGGGTAGAAAGAGGAATATGAAGCAAGTGACATGGTTTCCACCTAATAGACGCGTGGTTGAGGCGAACACGTGAACTTCTCAGTATGCCGATTTGCTGGATGGACAAGAATTTGGCATCTCACTTTTCTTTCTAGTCTGTTTTGACAATATAACACAAGATTTTACTTACTACAACAGATTTTCAAAATTAACCATTCGGCAGGAGTTTCTGTATTTGGACTCCAACATTGCATAAATGACTACAACAACGGCCCAGTATAGTCCCACAAGTGGGGTCTGGGGAGGGTAATATGTACGCAGACCTTACCCCTATCCCGAGGGGCAGAGAAGCTGTTCCCACAATTGCATAAATGACTACAACAACGGCCCAGTATAGTCCCACAAGTGGGGTCTGGGGAGGGTAATATGTACGCAGACCTTACCCCTATCCCGAGGGGCAGAGAAGCTGTTCCCACAATTGCATAAATGACTAGTAAGATTATATTTTTTACCGCTAGCCCCACAACATCTTTTACAGCAAGAACATGTTGCTCGATACCACAGTCATGAGAAAAGAAATTATAAAAGGTGGCAACAGGCATGTCTATATAGGAAAAAATTAAAGATTATTTAGTCAATTTCTACATACATGTTGTATCTGATCAATGACATTGTAACCTCCACTGATCATGAAATTCACTGTTGTATCCTCCCACCAAGGTAATAAACAATGTAGACGACCTATCTGGATAGAAAACCATGTAATTAAAAGGTCTGATAAGACAAGTAGTGCAGACGCACATTTCAGACATCTGAGCTCCATGACTTTCAGGTTTCTTAAAGATCAGAGGGTCGATACTTACATTAGTCCAGTCTATGCAGGTATTTAATGGTAAGCCATTGAAAGTCAATGATGTTGCGTATAAACGAAGTGGTATGCTTTTCAACAAGTAGACCTGCAACAAGTTTGTTGTCAAGATAGTGAAAACAATAAGAAATATAGATGGAAGATACTCAAAGAATGCTGTAAATATATTTGGATACATGTTATATCCATGATTTGGATCAGAATCTTTCCAGTAGAAGACTGAATGATAACTTGATATCCGATGTATCTAGTATGAGTTATTTGGGGTTTTGCAGCTTCAAGGGAAAGATCTGACGAACAAACAGTGTCACTATACAAGGGGTGCTAATCTTTGGATCAGTTAAGCTGATCATCATTTACGATTCTCCTTTTCTTTCAAGCTTATCATAAATCAAGTTCTTGGTGAAACCACAGTCTAAGTTGATATAGATGTTCATTTAAATCAAACGGTCAAAATAGGAGTAGACTGTATCCCTTTATTTTAAGAGGACTTGGAGGGGACTCACCCCAGCATAAGCTAATGCTTTTGGTAAGGTTGCGAGGCTTCCTGTACCTTCCGCATAAACACATGCATCGATTAAAACCAGCCTATCCACCTATCAAAGTAAAACCTACTTCAGAGTAAGCCATAAAATGATACCTCCTTAATAATAGAAAATGATCTATAAAATCTGTATAGGGATTCACAGTTATTTAATGTACTTACTGCTTCTGGATAGTTGACAGAGAAGTCAATAGCAACAGCAGATCCAAGACTCGGTCCGACAAGTACCATTGGCCTCTTGATGTAGGTAGACCACAACTGAGAAAAAAACAAGACTGGATATTCAAAGCAAGTAAATGGAAAATTCCTTCGAAAATTTAATACAACAACAAACCCAATGTAATCCCATAAGTGAGGTCTGGGGAGAGTAGTGTGTACGCAGATCTTACCCCTACCTTCGAAAATTTATTATCAGACTAATTCTTCAACATGGCCTTACAGTTATTAAACTTTTTAGTGGTTTCTACAGATAAACTTAGACAAGTAAATACTACTTCCATAATTTCCTAGTGTAGGACTGTGCTGAGTAAGAAAGGGTCCCCCCATAATGCTGCATAACTGTGATATCATACCACTGCACAATGGGTTACAACTGTGGTATGCGCCCTTGCATAGCAAGTATTATAGTAAACTACCAAAAAATAATTGAATGTGACTTTTAACTTAATTTTGTACTTCGATATGGTACTTAATTTGTACTTATGTATGCTATTTTACATTTATTAGAATGTCTAATAAAAGAGACTAATTCCAACATTTGAAGTTTGTGTGAACTAGATTAAAAGGGCATCCCGGTGCACAAGGCATCTTGCATTCACGCAGGGTACGGGGAAAGGCCGCACCCCAAGGGATGTGATGTAGACAGTTCATTAGTGTCTGCTTCCACGGCTTAAACCCACCTATAGGTCACACGGAGACAACTTTACCGTTGCTCCACGGCTCCCCTAGATTAAGACATATAATTCATAAGATCAGCAGGTACCTGGTACAGATGATCACGCTTGGAAGCTACATCACACGATGGAAGCCTTTCTTTAAAATCACAAGCAAACAGAAAGAGATGAAACCGTAAGCAAGTCTTCAGTTTTTGTTTGCAGAATCTTTCTGGAAAAATGAAAATCAGGAAAGAACTAGGACAATACTATTTACCTAAATCAGAGAAACCCCATCCAAGGATATCAACTGCCCATGTCTCCAACCCAGCTTCCTCAAGCAATGGAAGTGCGTACCTCCACTCTAAACATGTGCTGAACAATAAGGTTTGATGAACAACAGGATCACAACAAGAGAAAGTGGTAAAAACTATTACCTTAGCATGAGGCATACCTATCAAAACCATGGAGAAGCACAACTGGATTGGCCTCTGTCTGTTCTTTTGGCTTCACGCAACTACTCATGACACAACCCTTCGAAAAGTTTACCTAAATGGACCAGCAATGAAGCTGAACCGTCAAGGCAGTAACTAGAACCTTATAAAGGAAGAGAATGATGGATTTCAATACAAAACAGGAGAAACAAGATATTTAGATATCTGAGTTTAAGGATTAAAAGGAAAATACATACACAAGAACACTGATTAAGTTGCAGATCATGGGTGGTTACCACTATGGGTCTATGGCAGCAGGTATACTACTGCAAAGGTTGCACCCTTACCTGCTGCATTCATCTAGGTATGTGTGTGTGTGTAATATATATGAAAAGATCTAAAATATATATATTCATATTAAGCCTGCGCGCATTGTCACGAGGTAGTATGTGCAGCAGTATTGACTCTGTTTTAAAATTTTGGTTTATTCCTAAAAAACCATGACTAAATAGAAAATACTCCCTCCTTCCAAATATATGATAACTCCTTCCCATTTAGGATATTCCAAAAGTTTTTGACACTATATCATTTCTGTAAAATTTTCACAACTTTCAAGAAATAAAGTTTATCAAACTATTCAAACTTTAGACTTGGATGTATTGTTTCCTCTATAAAAAAAAATTCAACCATTACTTCAATATTTCTTTCAAATTTCAGGTCCAAGCAAATACCTTCATATAAATTTGGATGGGGGAGTAAACAATTATTAACTACTTATGAAGAAATTTACATTAAAAAAAATTTGTTCTCCAACACCCCCAAGTAGAGACATCAAATAGCCCTTATGTCCAAGTCTTGGTGGGCATACTAATGGGAGGTAGCAGCTAAACCAGAATAGTCAGAGGTACACACAAGCTCACTTGAACACCATTGTCATAAAAACATCAAAATAGCCTGTCTAGCTACCATAAAAACCTGCATGCATGGTGCAATTCTTGTTCTTGTACTACTGATTTAGGTTCTAAAACACTAAATTTGCGACCTATGTGTTAGTATTTGTCCAAAGCAACAAAATTTTACTCATCAAAACAGAACCCATTTCACAAAAAGTACAGATTTTGCTCCAGGTGATTCCCAATGCTTCATGCAACATTGAAATAGAAAAAAGATACAGAAATCATTAAAGAAAATAGCACATTTTGAAGCTAATAAAAAGAGGGAAAAACATACTGGTAATCTTTCAATTCTTGAAGCCAATTTTCTAGCAAAAGGATCTTTAATATTCTCCACTTGTTTAGGAAGAAAATCCGGAAATTTACCAGCCCATATTCTAAAAGGCTTAAAATTCCAACATTTTCTTTTGGATCCAATTCCAAAGAAAAGTGTTGGTGGCGGAGCACCACCAGCTCTGGCTGAGAGAACTGTTAGCATAGTGGCATTGGGTTTTCTGCTACTCATACATACATACAAAGAAGAAGAGTGAGTAGCCATTATTATATGTCGGTACTTGCCTACTCGGGTGTAATTGGATTTGACATTTGTTCTAAAAAAATCAGGAGAAAGTTCAGCAATGTGGCTGTACATGCATTTCACGTTTTCTTTTAGTTTAATTTTCCCGCTTCCTATGATTAAATTAATGTAGAAAAGTCAAAATATTGAAAAATAGGATTTTTTTTCAAACCAAAATACACCCACATACTATGGGGTGGTTTGGTAGGGTGTACCGTTCCCGTTTGGCCAAAGATTTCGGGGAGAAATTCAAAAATAGCCAGATTTACAATCGGTCATTCAAAAATAGCCCAATTTTAAAAGTAATCGAAATTTAGTTACTTTTCACGTAAAGATAAATTTGAGCGAAAACAATGTTCAAAACCAGAAAATACGCTAGTATATTATGCTGGAGTTCCAGCATAAGTATACTTGAACTCCAGCATATTATACTGGAGTTCCAGGATAAGTATGCTGGAACTCCAGCATAATATGATAGAGTTCCAACATAAGTACACTAGAACTCCAGCATAATATACTGGAGTTCCAGCAAGTATACCGGTCCAGCATAATATACTGGAGTTTGGAGCACCGGTGCTCCAGTCTCCAGTATATTATACTGGAGCCAACAAAGTATACCGGTCCAGAATAATATGCTGGAGTTCATACACAGGTGCACCGAACTTCAATATATTATGCTGGACCGGTCACTGTTGCAGCAAAATAGTGGCTATTTTTCATTGACTTGGTAAACGCTAGCTAATTTTGAATGACCAGTCCGAAAACTGGTTATACCGTGCTATTTTTACAAGATTTTGGCTTCAATTTTTTCAGTTTTTTGTTTGAAAATAATGTTTGCTCATGAAATATGACCATATTTTGGGGAAAAAATATTTCAAATTCTCAAAAACTGGTTTAGGGTATTTCTTCCATTCATAAAACATCAACTTTTCTTCAAATAAATGCATGCCCAAACACAACTTCAAATTTTAAAAATTATTATTCAATACAACTTCAAAAACTCTTTTTTCAATTTCAATCAAATTTATGTCCAAACGCTAGCTAAGAATAGTACTAAATAAGTGTATTAATAATGCTAGGATTAGTAACATTGAGATTAGTTATACTGGTATTATTTCTTATCCACTGTTTGGTTTGGTCTAAAAAACATGTTTTGCATAGGAGTGTATACATGTTTATCCATGTATTACAAACCATGATATTACTAAAGTCACAGTTTGTTATGTAGTATTAGTTATACATAAGATAATACCAAATATGATGAAAAAATACTACCAAACAAAGGATTAATAATACCAAAGCTAATATATATATTATTTTCCCTAATACATTCCACCAAATAAGTTATACATTCATAGTAATTCAACACATTGCATAACGGTAAAAGCTTATATGACATTTACGTCAAATCAGTTATAATAATATATCTATATTCTGTATATGTCACGACCCAATTTCTCCTATAGATCGTGATGACGCCCAATGTCACTGTTAGGCAAGCCAACAGTGAACTAGCCTTGTATTTATTCTTTTTAACAATTTCGAAATAGCTGATTTTTTATTTATTAAGTAAGCAAGAGATGAAAATTTTAATAAAATAAAGTGTAGACAAGTATAAGAACAAGTGTGGTGAAATAAATTCTCAAAAGCTATCAAATGTCTACTAGCATAATTCCAAGATCTGGTGTCACAAGTGTATGAGCTACTAATAGAATATACAAAAACACTAAACTACTGTGTGAAATAGAGTAGACAGAAAGTAAATACAAAAGAGAGACTTCGGGTGCTGCAGAACGGACTCGGAAAGCAGCTCACCACTAAGTCTCGGAGTATCAGGGGTGCGCGTCGGGATGACTGCCAGATGCACCTGCCCTAGATCCTGCACGATTAGTGCAGAAGTGTAGCGTGAGTACATAAACAACATGTACTCAGTAAGTATCAAGTCTAACCTCAAAGAAGTAGTAACGAGGGGTCGACATCGACACTTCATATGGGCCAATAAATACAATACAGAAATTCTAAATAAGCATGGGTTATGTAAATAATAATAATACAATAGCAAGCAACAAATGAATGATTCTTTAACTAATAGCAAATTCCAACATCTCTAACCAACACCTACTAACTGCAAATCAATTTCTATCATTAAATGAATTATAACCTCTCAAGCCATAAAATAATATCAAGCGTAATTAGGCTCCGAGTATTATCATGCATGATTTATGCCAAGGTCATATGGTCGATCCAGAAATATACTGTGTGCAGGCCGAGGGTAGAACGTCACGAACCATAGATGCATCTATTAAACTGCCGAGGCGAACAACCCGCTCCCATCAGAATAGGAAGTTTACCTCGCTCACGGAAGTACTTGTGACGTGAGAGGACATGGATTTCTCAAAGTTATTAAATATTCCTCAATTCTTTCCCCAAAATAAGAAATCTAACTTGGAAGTTTTCAACTTTAAAATCTCCAGTCTCAGCTCTATTCAAGATAAATTAATATGCATAACAAACATGGCAGTACAATTAAAGCATGATGTAAACCTAAGACTACCCGGACATCTCATGAAATATAGCTACACACGTCACCTAGTGCATACGTAGCTCCCCATACAAGTAATACATAACAAAAATACACCTTAAGGGGATGAGTTCTCTCCTACAAGGTTAGGCAAGGGACTTACCTTGTTCTCAAGCTCAATTCCGGTCCACAAATACGCTCTAAGTCCTCAACTTGGTGCCAAACAACCAGAACTAGCCAAATATTATATAAATAAGTCAATATATACTCAAAAGTTCATAATTTAACTATTAGGGTAATTATTCACCCCTAATTGGAAGATTTGTAAAATTAACCCCCGGACCCACGTGCCCGGATTCCGAAAATTTTCGAAGATAATTGTTATCCATAACCTCATGAACTCAAATATACCATTTTCAACCAATTCCATAATCATTTTCGTGGTTAAATCCCATTTTTATCAAAATCTAGATTTTTCAACTAAACCCATAATTTTCACAATTTTACATGTTAAAATGTACCTATAATCTATGTATTAAACTTACATTGGGTAGGAATTACTTACCTTCACTAGCTAGGTGGAAACCCCTCTCTAAGAAGCTCCAAAAATCACCTAAGAAGTAAAATAAATGAACCAAAATGGCCTAAGTCCCGTCTTAAATGAACCTTCTGCCTCCAGCAATTTCCGCTTTCGCGGAGAATTGGCCGCTTCTGCGGCTCCGCATCTGCGGAAAATGCATTGCAAATGCGGCCCTCCCGTGGCTGGCCTACTTCTGCTTCTATGGACAATGGCCCACTTCTGCGAGCCCGCTTATGCGGCGTACGCGTCGCACCTGCGACCTTGCCCGCTTCTGCGGTCACGTGCCTCGCACCTGCGCCTTCGCAGGTGCGGTTCCTGCCTAGATTCTGCGACTTCATACCCAGGCTGCCAAGCCGCTTCTGTGAGCTTCACCTTACTTCTGCGAGGTCGCTTCTGCGACCAAACTTCCGCAGAAGTGATCGCACCAGCAACAGAAAATTTCCAGCACTTGAGCATGACCCAAATTGATCCGAACCCTGTTCGAAACTTGCCCAATCCATTCGAGGCTTTAACCAAATATACCAACAAGTCCGTAAACATAAGACAGACCTGCTCGACCTCTCGAAACACGAAAAACAACACCAAAACTAAGAATCACACTCCAAACCAAATCGAATCAACTTATGAACTTCAAGTTCTTCCAACTTGTTCCGAACACACCGAATCATACTTAAACTACTTGGAATGACACCACATTTTGCGTTCAAGTCTTAAATCACCATACGAAACTATTCTCAGGCTTGGAATACTGAACGGACCTCGATATCAACTTCGAACCAAATTTAAAGAACTTGAAAAACCTTCAATGTGCCAACTTTTGATATTAAGCACAGAAACGCTCCCAAGTCATACAAAACCAGATCCGAACATACTCCCAACTCCAAAATCATCATACGAACTTATTGGGACCATCAATTCCGAGGTCATTTACTAAAAATGTTGACCCAAGTCAAACTTAACCCGTTTAAGCCAATAACAAGGAACTAAGTGTTCTAATTTCAACCCGAAGCCTTCCAAATCCCAAACTAATCATCCTCGCAAGTCGTAAAATATTAAAATCACATACGGGGATTCTTATTTAGGAGAATTGGGATCTAGAAAGCAAAACAACCGGTCGGATCGTTATATTCTCCACCTCTTAAACAATCGTTCGTCCTCAAACAGGTCTAGAATCGTACCTGGAGTGCCGAATAAGTGTGGATATCTACTCTGCATGTCTTCCTCGGTCTCCCAAGTCGCCTCCTCGACTGGTTGACCCCTCCATTGTACTTTTATCGCACAAATCTTCTTAGAACTCAACTGGCGAACCTGCTTATCAATAATGGCAATTGAATCCTCCTCATAACACAGGCTCTCATCTAGCTAAACCGTGTTGTAGTCTAACACATGCGACTTGTCGGCATGATACCTCTGCAGCATAGACACGTGAAAAACCGGATGAACTCCCGATAGACTGGGAGGCAAAGCAAGCTCATAAGCAACCTCCCCAACTCATCTCAACACCTCAAATGGACCAATAAACCTTGGGCCCAACTTGCCCTTCTTCCCGAACCTCATGATTCCCTTCATCGGCGAGACCTTCAAGAGAACCTTCTCGCCCACCATAAATGATAAATCACGCGCCTTCTGGGCCATATAACACTTCTTTATGGACTGTGCTGTGCGAAGTCGCTCTTGAATCAACTTTACCTTTTCCAAGGCATCCTTGACCAAGTCAGTATCATATAACTTAGCCTCGCCGGGCTCAAACCATCTGATAGGTAAACGATATCTCCAACCATATAAAGCCTCAAATGGAGCCATCTCGATGCTGGACTAATAACTATTGTTGTATGCAAACTCGGCCAAAGGTAAGAATTGATCCCACTGCCCTCCGAGGTCAATCACACA